AAGACTTAAGAATTTCATGTAATGAAGTTAATAAAACCTAAGGCTGAGAGCAGGCTGGAGGATACACTCAGGCCTGGAACACAAGCCTGGGAGGCAAGCAGTCTCATTTTTCCATGCTAAAATTTATGAAATACTTGGTGTGTATAAGATATAACTCGTATGCAGGTGTGGATCCAAGTTTTCAGGGCTCAACGGTTAGACAGTTTTTGGAGTCTTCCATAAGAAAGGAAAAAAACTCACTTTCATCCTCCTCCCTCCTACCAGAAACAACCATTCTCCTGAAACCTGGGCTTACCTTCCGCTTGCGTTTCTTTACAAGGTTTTGATGCATATATATGTATTTCCAAAGAGTATTTAGCTCCATATTTCTGAACTCTATATAAATGATGTCAGAATACATATTTAATTCTGCAATTTGCCTTTGTCACTCGAAGTGTGTTTTAGATTCATTGGCGCTGACAAATGCAGCCGTTAGTTCCCTTTCCCTTGTGTCGAAACAAAGGCAGCTCCCGCTCTGCACGTCTGTGAAACTCATGCAAGTCAGAACTCTCGCCTCCACCTGCAGGATCCCATGGTAACCAAAATTGTGTATCACATTTTTTCCCCATCAATCTTTTGTTAAACTTACCAGTTTTTGTTCTTACATACTTATACTTGGCTCTAGGTACACGAGCAAGAGGCTTTCGGTGGTGAACACCCAGGTGAGGAAATTCTGCTTTATGGAGAATCTGCAGTTTCCACTTTTCTAAATAATGCCAAGTTGGCCAGCCAGGTGGTTCCACTGATATACATCCCACCAGCAGGAGATGAGAGTCCCTTTGCCCCATTCACTGTTTTATTGATTAAAAGTTTCTTACCAATCTGGCAGATGACAACTAGTAACCCATTGTGCATTTTCTTGATTTTAGTGAGACTTAAAGTATTTTTGGAAGTTTATTAGCTTCATGTTTTCTTCTTTACTGGAATGGTCTTTTGCCCATTAGGGCAGGTTTTTCCTACTTTTTTGGGTGGTTGTATTTTCTGAAACATGATTTTCCTCCTTTTCTGGGGGTTCCTGGTGTACTCTGAAAAGTGATGCTTTCTTGGCTATGTGTTCTTTAAAGATTTCTCATTCGTGGCTTATTTTTTTTTCTGATTAAGTTCTTGATTTTAAAATCAAACTTCTTCTTTATGGTTTCTAATTTTGTGTCTTAAGAAACTCTTTCCAAAATATCATGAGAATATTCTCCTGTCTAGTTTTGCAAAAAGTAAAGGTTTTAATTTTCCTGGAATTGATTCTTGTGTGGTATGGGGTAGAGATTTCATTTCATTTTCTCCCACATGGATATATGACAGTCTCAGCATTATTTGTTGAATACTGAACACTTTCCATTGCACTGTAATGTAACCTTTGACACATAACTAGTTTCCACAAGTGTATAAGTCTGTTCTGGGCTCTCTATTCTGTTCTGTTTATTCCACTGCCTTGTCTATTGATGCATGAATGCCTTGCTGCACTGATAACCACAGCTTTCTAGGAAGTGCAGATAGCTGTTTGGGCAAGTACCTCTACCTCAATCTATCTTTGTAAAGTGGTGCATTCTTCAAAGAAATAGGTCAGCTCAGAGTAGCCCAGCACACTTACCACCAATCAGTCCAGCGGCCTGCCTCAGCCATTCCTACACCCGCGAGCCTGGTGTGAGCGGTTGGCACAGCTGTGCAGACCTCCATCATCACCCACTTCCTGCGTTGTCTCACACTGGCCACTGCTCCCTAGTCAGTTTCCTCCCTTCTCCTTCAGGGCTTCTTCCAAGCTTTCATCTTCCCCTTCAAGTCCCAACACCACCCCGCCTTGCCACTCAGCTGACGACACATGGAGGCTGACCCACTGGGCTTGGCTGCCAATGTGTCAACTTTCCACAAACTCCTCTGCCTGAGCCATTTTCCTGCCTCCTGCCAGCTCTGCTCTGAGTTCAACCTGCCAAGACCTCACTCCACTATTTTCTTTGATCTTCCATGCGTTTCCAACGTCTCCTCCATGGCCTCCCTTCCTTGAGCACATTCCCAATTTCTTTCATCTTTAACAAAAATATAAATCAAACCAATGTACAATTCAAAACAGAAACACGAAATCCTTTCCTTAGACTCTTTTGACCATTACAGGGAATTAGGGGATTGCAAGATGCTGCTGGCCAGATGACCCCAACATGGCAAGCTTGCCTCCACCGGCCCTCGTGCTCCTCTCAGGAGGAGCTTGCTCCCTTGGCTCCAGCTACTTCCTCTCTGCAGGGCACACCTATTCTTCTCCAGTTCAAACAGCATCTTGAGTGCCAGACTTGAGAAGCCTGTTGCTTCTAGGTCTTCAGCTGGTTGACTGATGCACCTCGAGCTCAAGGTAGACCCTGCTGTTTTCTGCTCATAACCCATTCCTGTCCTGCATTTTAATGTAGTCACCCAGAGACCTGAGTTATTCTAGGCTCCTCCCTGTGTGACTTCTCACATGCACTTGGTCACAAAGTCCTGTGCTTCCTCCAGCCCCACACACTTCTCAGGTGGACCACCTCCTCTCTAGCTTCATCCTCTCGTCTCAACTATTATAGTGACCTTCACCTGGCCTCTGCCAAATGCAAGCCATCCTGCACACAGCTACCACTTCTAAATACAGACACAGCAGCTTAATCCTCACTCAGATTCCTGTGATGTTCTTCAGTGCCTACAGGTAAAACCTTAACCCTGTCACATGACACACATGGCCCCTGCACTCCACACCCCACCCCCAAGTATTTCGGTGGCACTGGCCTACTATAGTCTGACATATAGCATACCCTCAATCAATATTGCATGAAATCTAAGATGGAACACTAGTGGTACTACATAAAATAAATAGTAAGTGTAACCCTGAGTGGACATCTATGAATTAGGAATTAGGGAACTGTCTTCAGATGAGAGTAAGAGAAACAAGTAATATGGTAGTGGCTTACCAACTGGAAGGAAACAGATAAAGTATTACAGCATCAATCAACAATAGTTATGAAGGGAGCCTGCAAGGTGGTCAGGCTGGAAATCTCACTGGGCCAAAAGCAGAACTTCTGATAAACTCTTGCCATGCAAATAATTTCTTCATTAAGGACGAAGAGCAAACAGTGAGAGGAGAATCTGCTCTAGAGTTAGTTCTGAAAAAGAGTTCACTGATCAGGTGTGGGGGAGTGACAGAGGCCGTCTAAGAAAATGACCAGATCTTTTGCAAATTTACAAATATGACAGACGGGGATACCAGGCAGAGTCAGACGTGTGCCCTAGATTTCAGAGAAAAAGAGGGAGTAAACCCATGGACAGAGACACCACAATCAAAGTGGATTAAAAAGGGTTTTTAAAAGCGAGAAATGTTAACATTTAGTAGCGTACATCAGAGGGAACAAAAACAAAGATCTAAAGAGTTACACATCACATTTTCCTATGGCTATACAGAAAAATCTCTTATTGGTACAGATTTTTCCTTTTGAAAAAGTAATTTCGTTTTACTTCTAATTATAAAAGCTCAGATCTTTTTTTTTTTTGAGATGAAGTCTTGCTCCATCACCCGGCTGGAGTGCAGTGGCAGGATCTCGGCTCACTGCAACCTCTGCCTCCTGGGTTTAAGCAATTCCCCTGTCTCAGTCTCCCGAGTAGCTGAGATTACAGGTATGCGCCAACATGCCCGGCTTTTTTTTTTTTGGTATTTTTAGTAGACAGGGTTTTACCATGTTGGCCAGGTGGGTCTTGAACTCCTGATCTCAAGTGAGCCACCTGCCTTGGCCTCTCAAAGTGCTGGGATTACAGGTGTCAGCTGCTGCGTCCCACCAAAAGCTCAAATCTTAAAGGGGCATGAACATATTGTAAAATGGGATGTACATAAAAATGAATATAGAAAAAGCAAATGCTCTTAAGCCAAATGACAGGGCCATGGAGGGTGGCTAACCCCCACCTGGGCTCACATGCTGGGCTTCTTCCTCAAGCTACAGTTTGAGCAGTTCCTTTGAAGAGCAGGGCTGCTTTTTTGAGTTCAGAATAGCAAGCGGAACTTCTCAGCCTGTTATATACTGACATTTCAGTGAATACTGATGCCGAATATTCTATAGCAAAGGAAAAAACGATTAGGAGAGAAAGCCTAAGTTAAGGCTTCACCCAGTCAGTGTGTTACAGCAGGGAGACAAGAATGTCTGCTGTATCTTCTATACTCCCTAAATGTTGGAAATTTTTGTAATTAAAATTAAAAACATCTAAAGCAGTTAAAATAAGACTAAATTAAGGAGGGAGATAAACTAAACCGAAGAGACAGATTGCTTGGGGGTCCCTCTATCCTGAATATCCCCAAATTTCAAGAACATATCCTCTACAGACAGTTCTAAGGGAGAAGGAACAAACACATCAGAGGGGACGCCTCACACTGAGGCCGCCACAGATAAACATGGTTCCAGACCTCTCCCAATGCACACAGCACTTACACAGATAGGGAATCAGGATCTTGTACGTGAAGGTCACTTTTTTCCAAATCCCCAGCAAGTACTTCAGATAAAATATAATGCCCCCTGCCTTTTTTTAAAGGGGGGCCTCACACACATATTTGAATACGTCTCTTATTCTCTCCCTCGCTCTTTTGGCAGTGAGAAGTATCAGCGCAAGTTCTAAGGGGATGAGGGCACGTCACAGCTGCCTTCTATGGTCCAGGCTTGCACCTCTCATCACACTGCCATCCTAACAAACCACACAACGGGGAGGCCTGATGAGGCTGCAGCATCTGCACAGGCCCACACACCTGCCAGAAAAGGTGAGGTGCGTGCCCAGGTCTACCCAACTTGGGAGTGTGTGCTTTTCCCACTATGTACAAGGCCCTTAATTCCTGAAGGGGGAAATATGAGTCAGATTCCTAAAAATTATACAATTTTGAAGAATGTATTTACCATCTGGTTCCCTATGGTTCTCAGCCATTTTCACGTTTATCTCAAGTCAGATTACAAAGTATGTGGAGGGCAGCTGCTAAGGAAATATTTGTTAGTTTTAATTTTATTCTGGAGACATTATTCAGTTCTATAATACAAAACTAAAATCTATTTCCTTTATTTACATGATGTAAAATTCTCAATAACAAACATTTCTACTCAGGAAAGTTGGTGTTAAAGCAGAAATATTGTCATGATTGATTCAATGGGAGAACATAAAATATGCTCTATTTCATAATTTTTCCAAAAGAAAATGTCTAGTTTGTTTAAATGTAACAAATACTGTATCAGATTCACTTTAGAAACCATACACTCCTGTCTTTCTTTTGAGGAGATTCTGGAAGAGAGCTGTGAAGACTGGAGTAGTGAGTCCACGCCACCCAGCATCCATCTGTAACCTGCTTGCTTGATTCTTCTAATCATCTTGGGATCGATTATCTTCAACGATAATAGTTCTTCTAGGATAGGATTCAATTTCTACAAATATGTATCGAAAATCATATTCACCACTTTTTGGGTTCTGAAAAAAATGTAGTATTTCCAGGTATTATTTTCCTTTCTAGAACTTAAGTAACACTGCGCTTAGAACCTCTGACCCCATGACCCACGATTCCCACACCTTTTTCACTTCTGCATGCACCGTTCCTTGCTTCCCTGGCTCGGAGCCCTCGATGTAGAATTTCACACGCGTGTGTTCTAGCCCATCTTTTACATAGTCAATGAAACTGTCGAGAAAAAGAAAGATCAGTCTAAGTTCCTTTCATTGAAAAATCTCCCCAGAGCTTCCTCTGAATTCAAGCCATGGTACCTGATGTGCTGCCTGCGACCCCGCTTTGTCGCCTCCCCATAGCCTTTAATAGGCTCACCAAAGACACCAATCACCTGCAGAACAAGGACAGGGCTTTATTTTTTGTGTGTGTGGGTTAAAAGCTTCCTAAGGAAATAATTTCTAACCAAATGATTTTAGGAAAAAGAAAAATCAGTAAGCCTAGGACCTTCTCAAAAATGACCACTCAATAAGAAAACTGAAAAAAAGGGTTATTATATAAAAATCATCCCGTAAATAAATTAGACAAATATTTCATGCCCAAAGATTAAAATAGGTAGCTTTATGGTGTGACTTATAGTTTCAGAACCATGTAGGCAGAAATGACGCAGCTCCTGCTCCCCTTACAGAAAACAAACAAAACAACACAGGGTTCAGCTGTTTCTCTACTAATACCTTTTGGTTTGAAGATAAAATGTATGAACATTTTAAATGAAATTTAATTAATTAATGGTACCTAATACTAAAACTATGAGATCAAAAAATTTTCAGTCACTATACACAGTGAAGAAAAAGAAAACAGATAATAATGACATTTAAAATAAACCAGAGCCACAGGTGTGAATCTATTATTTCTAATGAGAAAATCTACATGAAGTGGAAATATAATTTTTATTGAATTCAAAATACAAATACTGTGGAACCCTCTAAAAAATACAAATTTGATACTAAACTAAAAAAATTTGACCCTCAACTCTATGAAATTTATCTTATTTTGTCTGTTTGAAGAATATCTTCAGTATCACATTTTCCAGGAGAAAAAGAAGTAACATGTAAAATGATACTTCAGAACTGTATAGCTCAAACAAGTAGAATAATCACTTTAATCTATTTAACATACAAATATCAACACCATCAGGATTTTCTATTTTTCAAGCAGACACAGTACCTGGCAAAGAGAAGGGTACCCGTTAAAAAATGTTGACAAAATTGTTAGTTTAATTATTATTTGTAAAGCTTTTTCAGGCAGCAAATTAAGTTATGACTTTAATATCTCACTGTTGTATATTCTGTGGAGGTTTTTGTTCAAAATGCTGAAAAATCTATGAGTTTGTGAATAACATAGCAACTCTTCATCTCTTTCCAGAGATGCATTCTAACATTTAATTAGGTTACCACCCATAGGTATTTCCGCAGTCTGTAAAGAATGTTTCTTGTTAGATATAGTAACTATCATAGGAGCCTTCCTTATTTCCTGCTGGTTTTCACCTCTGGAATACTTCACCCTCCCTGCCTCGGTCCAATTAAGAGAAATCAGTGGATTTAAAAAGAAAGATGCCAGTGATTGTTAGCTTCTGAGGTTTCCACCCTGACATGATTAGAAAAAGTGGTACAGTCAGAGCTGGAGCCCCAGGGAAGATCAGCCCTGGGCTCTGTTTTGAGAGCATGCTGTGGATTCAAACCTTTCTCCTTTTTAGGGACTGCAAATGCTAGGGATGACATTACTCTTTGGTCTGTGTGAAAAACAGCCTAATATTTATGATGATAATGGCAGAGAGTTATCTGCTGTTATCTTTCAAGGTGAATGAAGCTGGATTTCAATGAGTAATGTTTTCAGTGCTAAAGCTTTCCATCAGGGAGTAAGAAATATAGCGCTTCCCAGGCCACACTGGCTATGTGTGACTGGAAAGCCACATCTAAAGCCTTCCTTCTCGACAGGGTCCTTCAAAGAACCAAGGCAGCTTCCCCATGTTCACTCTTCCCTGGGAAGGGCGGAGGCAGACTGTGCTTAACAGCTTCAGATTTGGAAGCAAATCTTGGATTTGCTTGGATTCAGGTTCTGGATCTCCAACTTACCAGCTCCATGATCCTGGTGAAGTTAGTCTCTCCTTCTGCAAACTGAAGATCAAGGAGCACCGAACACAAATGGTTTTTGTGAGACTGAATAAAGATGATGCACTGGGGCCCTGTGCAGAGTGCTTGCATAGGACACATTTTCCGTAAGGAGCAGTGACACTATGACCATGAGGTCACGCATCAGGCTTTAAAAAGACTAGAAACTATCATGAGTTTGATATTTTGGTGTATTCTAAGAATTTAGTATTTACGAACAACCAGCAAAATGACTCTCTTGCACAAGTAGCATGACAACATCTGTACACTGAGTTTTGGGTTCTCTTAAAGAAAAAAGATCTAATAATGTAATGATAACTCAAGCATTATGTATTATTATGTGAGTTTCACTAGCATGAGAACTGGTTCTTGAATTCTGCCCATTTCCTCCTCCCAGACATTTTCTCCCCATCATCAGAGTTCATGTAGCTGAATCTTGAGAACTAACCTCGGGATGTGATCTGCATTTGTCTAGGGCTCTCCCATATATCTTGCTAGGACTTGAGGAAGAAAAGAGTTCTTTGAAAATTGTGTAAAACAAGCCACCTGAAATCACAGAAAATAAAGATGGAGTAAAGCCCGGGCAACATAAAAAGACCAGCTGAAAAGATATTCAAGGATTTATACTTGCTGTTTTTTGCAACCTGTAATGGTGATTCCAAAGAGCACCACTACTAAATAGGAAAAATCTCTTCCGGTTTCTTTCACTGTAAAGAGAAAACACCAATAGGTTACCCGTGGCAGCTGGGAGCAGGCCTGCTTGCTTGCTGCTTCTGCGCTTCTTGCGAGAGAAAGGCTGCCTCCAGATCAAAACAAGGGGTCTGCGTGTGTACCGGGGCAGCCGTTTTGAAAACTCCCTGTGTGTTACTGTTATTGCCTCTGCAGAACTCTCAGAGCAGGGCTTGGGAATCTATGTTTTAATTTAACGCTATAATTTTAACACTGTCTTAATTTCTAGGATGAAGAAATCCTTTTAACAAGTCATCCAGTCTACCACTGCCATAGGTCAGGCAACACTGGACCCAATCTGCCACTCCCAGATTAGGAAGAGTGCTGGCTTTTGACAACCAAACAGGTAAGGTACTGAATGGACCAACATGGGTGTCAACTCCTAACAGTCAGTAACTAGCTCGAATGCCAGTCCCACCCCACACGCTGACTGGTACATAAAAACAGAATTGGGTTTGGAGTAGAAATTTCGTTGGCCAGAAAGATTTATGAATTAAACTTAGAAAATGAAGAACATGCACAGACCAGACATTTGTTTTCCCACACTAATAAAACATGTGCATATGGATTAAACGAAAGGTCTGAGAACTAAAGAAACTCAATCAAGACAGTGTTATGGGGCAGAGTATATATGTATATATAGCTATAAATAAATGTATTTGTATTATGCCCTTATTTGTTCCTATTACCCAAATCAGGTCATTGGTCTCAATACCCTAGATTCCCCAGGGCCCCCTCAACATTTCATTCCTGCCTTGCTTAGCATATCAGGTGAGTCTTTCTGTTTATTTACTCACCAACAGCTACCATGTATCTACTATGTGTATCTTTATATATATGAAAAGAGCTATAATGTTACAATTACACTACCTTAATATTACAATTATTACTACGCTTTACACTGATGCTGAGAAACTGAGTCACCTCCCAGCATTATGTTTATAGGCTAATTTATTCACCACATTAGAAACTCAGACTTCTGAAATATAAATCTTTAAAAATTTTTTAAGAAAAAAAGTTTTAGAAAAAAATTTTAACAGAAGTTGTTATTTTCTCTTCTGTATAAAAAGCTTCTATTACTTTTATATAAAACAACATTGTTTAAAAGAAGTCTTTAGCTAATATAACACTTGTTTAAAAGTAGTCTTTAGCATAGCACGATCCTTCAAGTTTTCAGCAATATTTCCAACTTAGAAGATATTATTCAAATAACAAAAAGATCACATCTGCCAAAGTATGTGTAATTCATGGGACTGACTCAACAATTGTCACAAATCCAATTTCCCTTCCAAGGTTCAGGAGTTGGGGCCTACAACAACATCTCATTCTACTCTCAGTGTCACAAAATACATTTCAATAAATATTACCTGCCAGTTACATGTCAAGTCCCAGGTTGAGAACACGATAACAACTAATTAGTTCTAGTAAGTATCCTTATTTGTCCTTGTTATGCAAACCAGGTCACTAGCCCCAACACCCTGGATTTCTGACTGTTCCTCCCAACAATTAATTCCTGCCTTGCTTAGGGTATCTGATAGGTATTCTCCATTTATTGGATAAACAACAGCTCCTGTATATTTGTTACATATAAAGCCCTGTGCTGAATATTCTCCATATTCTACAGATTTAAAAAATTTCTGTTTGTTACTTTATAGCTGTCTCCAGTGGAAGCTGCTCACTAACTTTCTCAACCCTTTCAGATCTAATACTTTCATGCCAAAACCCTCATGCCTTTTGCTTCTGCAGTTCTCTAGGCCTCCTGTAGTAGGTGTTGTGGTGTGGGTGTTCCTAGCTGCAGTTATCAGCCGAACTCCTCTCCCGGCATTCCATCATAAGAGAGCTTCCTCACTTAGGTCATGGCACTTCCTGGGCCAGCCCATGCTCAATGCCTGGTTGATGCAGAAGTGTAAGACTCAGCCGCCATGTTAGGTAGACGGATGGTGACTGGCCAGCTCAGCCCCAGAGCTCCCCAGAACAGCAGCTGAGGCCCCAACTGCAAATACACTTTGGCTTCCCCCTCTGCCCAGTTCTTCAAGATGCATTCTGAGAGCACTCCCTGATAAACCTCCTTACACAAATCTCACTTCCCTGAGAAGCCGACCTACAACGGCTGCTGCCAGGAGCGGTAAGTAGCTCTCAGTTGGGATTTTGGAGCTGGCTAGCTGGCCACTCGCTAGCAATGAGGACTCTGACCCCGGTGGTAGAGGGGCACTGACAGCGCCTGTCATATAGCTGTAGTGCAGCTGATGCAGCTGATGGAGACCTGGGATGGAATACTGGCGGAAGGGAATACACTGGCTGGTGTGTTTTTCTGGGAATTTAGGAGGAATCAGCAATTTTAAGGACTTAAAGGGCTGTGGCTGGGGCCATGGATACTCTGGAGAGGGAGGATGAGATGATACGTATAACTAATTACCAATGAAGGTGAGTACCAAGGGCAGGGGCCTCTTCCCCAGCAGAACAAGACTCGAACTGCACCCAGAGGGCAGAAAACGCAGGGGTCAAGTCTGTGGCGTAAGGGCAGCAGGGAGTTTGGCATTTCAAGCCCATGAGACCTCTCACACCTAGGTCAGGGTCCTGATTTGGGAGGAAAGCTGTGTTGGGGGCCCTTGAGGTCAATGCTCTAAGCAGCTCATTGTCTAGTAAAGGTTGGCACTTCTTCCATCGTGGAAACTGGGTGAGGGGTGGGTGGGTGGCTTCTGCCTAGGAAGACACATGCTGCCCTCAAGAGGTCTCTCCACCTCCCCTCCTGGCCAAATTACAACACAACTGGGCATGAGAAGGGTGAGAAGGAACGATACACAGAAGGAGCTGGAGGCCCCACCAGCGGGAGCCAGGGGAACATATATACCATATCACTGCCTCTTAAGGGTGGTGTGTCAAGGGCACAGAACACAAACCCGGCTACGTGAGAATTGATCAGCATGAGGCACACTCCTGTGATGAATTTAGCAGCTGGGCAAGCACCCTGGGAACTGATATGCAGTTGGCTAGGTTTGCTCCCGTAAACTTTGAGACAGTGATGGTCCACATTAAGTAAAAGTGACAGAACAGCCATGGCAAACGGAAGGAAAGGCTTAACAGCCTTGAAGAATGGGGATGCTACCATAGATATAAGATATAAAGCCTGAAAGCCCACCATCTGACTATATTCTTAGGAGGAACTGGGGGACATTGTACACCAAAGCCACAAGGAAGCCCTGACATCTTTACAGAGCAGGATGCCCTGACAGCAAAAGAATTCTGAAACAGAGACCAGGTTGCGGTATTAGGCAGAAGCCAAGTTGGGTGCAACCATCATAACTGATGGCAAGTCGAGAGTGTCTGACCTGCACAGAGCAACAGAGTTGATGACTAGAACACGGTGTTCTCAAGGGCAAGACGGATGTGTAGTGGACAAGGCTACTTCTAAATTACACAGTCATTAGATATTAACTACAGATGACTCCTGAGGCTGAAGGTAGCCGCTCTAATGCAAAGCCTTGAACACTGCCCCAGTTTCTGGACCTGAGCAAGTTTTCAGACCTGGAGCCCCTTTACTGAAGGAAAGTGTATGTGACTGACTCCCCCAGCCCTTCACCAAAAGGACCTATAGTTATCAACTTGGACATAATCTGTGCTACAGTGATGTCCAAGGATCTGGAGAGTCATGATGACCCTCCGACCTGCCTCGGCATGTAAGAAGCTGATAGCTGGGTCCGTGGACTTATCTGGTAATCATTTCTGTGATTTCCAAATGTATAAATCAAGAGGATGTACTGAGTAATTGGCAACAATAACTCCTACTTTAGTAGTTCTTTTAGAAGTGGGTTAAGAGCTATCACATTGGGAAAAGTCAAATGGAAGCCTCCAAAACTGCCCCAGTGACCAAGATAATAAAATAAAAACAGTATCACATCTATGGGGAATGGCTGAGACAGTGCTATTCTTAGAGATCTTAGATACAGGCATGGTGGTCCCCAATGGTGGTAAAGTCCCTTGTAATTTACCAGTCTTTCTTTACAAAAAACAAATACAGGCTGGAGATGACAGTGGTTCACTGCAAACTCAACCAAGTAATAGCCAGGGTACACATGCAATACCACATATGATAACTTTACAGGGGAGTGCATTAACACAGTCTCATGGTATTGGCCATTGATTTGAAGAATGCCTTCTTCCCTATCTCGAGAAGCGGCAGCAGGAGCAGTCTGTAGTAACATGAAACAGATAATAACAGGATTATCCTGTTATTATGATCCTGCCCAGGATCTGCTAATTCTCTCACCCTCTGTCATTCTAGACCTGGGCTAATACAGTAGCCACTAATGGCTATTTCAGTTCAATTTTAAATTAATTAAAATTAATTCAGTTCTTCAGTCACATAATTTAGCAACATTTCAAGTGCTCAAAATAGCTACAAGTGGCCAGGAACTAACCAAATGTACAGCACAGATATAGGACATTTCTATGAGTGCAGGAAGTTTTATCTGAATAATCCTCTTCTGGACATTGAACAGAATATCACGTTTGTCCACTATGTTTATGCCATCACGTTTGAGCCCATAAGTAATAAGTGTCCATTGTGTTAGAAGGCTCGGTCAGACAAGTTGCAAGAGTGAGAGGTGGGTCCAACAAAGATCCAGAGGCTCACCAACACATGAGCGGGCCTCGTGGGGCTACACTGGGGAGTGCCAGGACATGCCCTCGCAAGTAAAAGACAATTGTTGCTCCCTATACCTTCTAACACAATGCTTCATAGGCCTCTTTGAATTTTGGACGCAGCATATTTCACATTTGGGAATGTTGCTCCCATCCACTCACTCAGTAACAAGGACTGTCGCCTCTGAATGGGGTGCAGTAGGGCTCTCTAAGGAGGCCTGGTGTGCAGTGCAAGCAGCAGCACTGTTGCCTGAGCCAGATGACCTGACACATCTGCCCGTTTCTATGCCTTTCACCTCTGCATATGGGTTGTTCCTTTGTGCTGAACTATTATGAATGAAAAGCTAGATTATATTTTTGGCATATGCCGCAGATTACAAAACAATTGGTGGAATATGATTCAATTTTTTGGGTTAAAATTATTAAAAAGTATGTGTATGAAAGTGCAAAATGTTAAAAAAAAGTCATCTTTGTGTGGTATAACCATGGGGGTCTAAATTGCTTTGTCTTTTATTTTTTTTCCTACAAATTACATGTGAAATGAAGAAATTAAAAAACAAATCTTAAAATACCTGTGAACACATCTCTGACTTTCCCTGACAAATCACATTCCATCCTCCCTATATGTTTTTCTATTATCGCAGGTAACATCTGAAAGTTTTCCCTACTGGTTATGCGTCTCTTTTTATCCTATCCAGTTACTCTTTATTATATGTAACAGAGCCAATAAAACTTGACAAAAATTTCCCAGACATAATGCAAAAAAGTTATATTAAAGATCAACTTTCAAATCTAAGTTTCAATCTGTAAAGAAAACTGTAAGTCTATATGTTCTAGTTCTAAATTATAAACAGTTTTTAAAAACTCATGTGAATTGCTTTTTCACCTTTGGCAGTGAACTTGGTGTAAAAGGGTATGGGGAGTTCGTCTTGATGAAAGACCAATCGTTAAAGTATTCCTTTTTTACCTTTTTGTGCTGTTGAGACGGCGGTTCCACCTCTCTGACTCCTGTGCACAGACACTTGTTTGCTACTATCCTCCTTTGCTTTTCGGGAGCTCGGCCCCTGAGTCCAGATGGCTTTCTGGGTGACTCCAGGGATACATCTAGGTCGCACTGTTTTCTTCTGATATTGAAGCCCCCATCTCAAACTGGGCTCAGTCTTCAAGCACGCTTTGTTAAGCACAACGTGTGGCAAAAGCAATCTCTTTGCCGAGGACTTGTGCAGCTTCTCCGTATATTGTATGGCACGTAGAAAAGTACAAATCATGTTCACAAAAAATCGTTCCGCTTAGGGACGATGCTAACTACAATTAGGAAAGCTTTAGGGTTCACCTCACATCCGGCCGGGCTCCTACTCAAGCCTATACGTTTACTTAAATGGGGTGTTAGGCAAAAACGTTAGCTTCAGCAGCGTAAATAAAAACGAAAAGTCTCCACAGTGAACCTGATGTCCACCTTCCCTTCTGTCTTCATTCTATTTGAATTAAAATACTCTGATTACCTTCTGGGCTGACATTCACAGGATCCCTGCCATGCCTTCGCAAAGTCACCTGGGAAACTCCCCCGTCTTTCTGGGAATAGTAGTTTAAAGACCCTGCTCTTAACTGGGATGGGACAGTGGGGCTCGCAAAAGAGACTACATCTCCCATAATTCAACGCTGCCGCAGCACGGCTCCCGCCCTCACACGCCCCCGCGCCTGGCGCCTGCTTAGACGCTGTATGTCCTTGGAGCGGCGGGAAAGTGGGGCGTTTGTGGCACAATCGGTACTTCAGACCCTGAGGGGTTCAAGCGGGAGTTGCAAAAGCCAAGTTAGTTGAAAACTACGTGTTCTTCTGATCCTTCTAGAGAGGACTCCACATACTGGGAAATGCTCCCTTTGACTGTGGCCTTGCTATTCCGCGTGCGCAAATGATTTAGTTTTTGCGTTTCACTGTTCTCAGAAAAACCGGACAGTAAAGAGCCAGCAAGCAGAGCTGAAGGGAGACCACTGCAAATCAGGCAGCGGTTTCCTAAACGATAAGCCGCGGACTTGCTTGGCGCCCCTGGTGGCAGAATGTTAAGGGTGGGTAAAGAAGCCAAGCCCGGAAATTTCTAGAAGTCCGCTCTGTGAGCCGAGTCTGGCGCGGTGCTGTCTGCGCACGCGCTAGGCCAGCTGTACATTTCCCCAGTCGCGCATGCGCGGAGGGGTGTGGCGATGTGGGGCTTGTCTGCGAGCAAGCGCTCCTCGTTTCCGCCCCCGCGCAGTCCTGTGGTGAACGCCTGGTCTCCATGGCGACTGGACGCGGTCGGATGTTGCAGCAGCGCTGGCTGGGCCTCCAGACGCTGCGCGAGCCCAGCAAGGGCGGTGGCGCGGCCCAGGGGCGTGCGAGGCAGGTCCCGGGGCGCTCCAGGGTCTTTGGGTTCAGGTGACTGTAGGGCCTGCGGGTGGAGTCAGCCGGCGGGAAGCCCCTCATTGCGCGTCCCTGGTCTTTTCACTGTATCTTATTCGTCAGGTTCTGGGCACAAGGCCCGAGGCTCCCTTCAACGAGAGAAGGGTTTGGAAGAACGACCAGAGGAAATCCTTTCTACCCTAAATTATGACACGAGTACAGTAGCCTCTCAGGGAAATATTTTTTTCTCGCGGCGCCTGCGCGGGGAGGCGCTCACCTGCCAGGACAGGTGCAGGTGCCAAGAGGTCGCTTCTCCAGGACGCCTGCCCTAAATTCACGGTGCTCCACCCCTGCCTTCGTATTTTTGCTCTTCTGTAACCAAGAATCTCCCTTCGTCTTTCTTGTGGCCGTACAACTTAGAGAAGTAGAATCCGCTCAGGAAAACCTTACCAGTGTACCCCCTCATCCCCCAAGCAGTTACTTCTGGCAGGCAGTTTGGTCTGGGGGGTGGGGGGACAGCACTTTCTGCACCTCCGACGTCAAGGCCAAGTTGCCGTCTCCATCGCCAGGTCTTGCTCAGCTCCTAGTCCCATTCTGCCTGTCTTCGGTCTAAATGCAGCAGCCTGTGGTGTTCTCGTTCTGCTACCTAGAGGCTCGTCTCTCCGACGAGAGCTTCTGTTGGGGCTCCCTGGAACTGAAGCGTGGTCCTCTCCTATAGGGAGAGAGAACGCAATTTTGAGGACTTAAATAGAAAAGGAGCAGGAGGCTGCCTCTGCTTTCCAGAAGCATCTTCAGCGTGAAGAAGTAAAATGATCCAGTGCGTCAGAAATATCAGCATGCATAATGGTATCTTATGCAATCCCTCTCCTTGTTTCGTGAGCTGTTCCCTACCTATGTACCCATCACTGCTGTTCGTTTACCAGATGGAGGGATAATGCTAAGAATGGTTTACATTCTTGAGGATTATCTTTGTGCTTGTAAGCCTCTTCGATTTATAAATGTGGAAAGTCATGCACATTTTGCCTTACAATCAACCAACAGTCCATGTTTAAGCATACAGAGGGAGTCTATTACATACTAATTGAACTACTTGTTTTATCCCCCTGCATCTGCAGAACTATGTCCTGTGTCCTCCCTAGGGCTCCATTACTTCCACTTACACAGCCCCGTTGCTTAGTGCTATGATAATAGTTCTTGATTGAAAACCTGTAATGCTAGACAAACCACAAGCCTTGTCACAGATAGAATGGTGACAGTGCCTGCAAAAATTCTTTTATGTAGGAGAGAAAGGAATTTAAATAGGGAACTTGAACTTTTAATCAATTTGCTGCTATTACTAAAATTAGTCTTTACATAGTGCTCTATTAGGGGGAAGCAGAAAGATTTTTATATGATTAATCTTTTATCATTTGTAAATTGAGTGAACTTCCTGGTGGATTGATATAATTAGAGGGCCTGTCATTATGCCTGGCATGAGAATCTGCATTTCAAGCTGATTTGGAAATGTATGCATTATCTTTGGTAAAGAAAAGTCTGCTGCCAAAAATAGAATGATTTACTATGGTCAAGGCAGGTGGTTATTTTAATGTCTTGCTGTGGAAAATTAGACGTTAAGGAATCAGCGTTCCCTTTTTAACACAAAATGTGAATATGTATATCACAAATTGTAAGAAGTGTAGTGAAGCATATTAAGTTGGGTTTATTTATACCTGGTGTAATTTATTTGATTTGCCATATATTGAAAATGAAGCACAGTCACTAGGTTTTTAAAATATTGGACTTACTGAAAACTATCAGACAAAAGCCTGTCACTTGACGTGTTTTCAAACTACATTTATCTTACTAAATATATCAGTGTGTGTCTATACTTAACCTTGTAGACATATAGATCTGCATAAAAACATAAATGGAACTTGCTGATTTGTTAATTATATGGCCCTTAAAAATGTGCAGTTGGTTTATTTTATGGAGGAATAGAGATGTGTTTTCAATAGTGTTAACAGGTACATACATGAGTTGTATGATTTTATACAAAGTATGGTAAAGAGAGCTCTGATTTAGGACCTTAAGGAGATGGGGGTCTTAGAGACTGTCTTTGCTTCTAGCTTGGGACCTTAAGTCCCTTTAGTTGCCTTGTTAGAGCCTTAGTCTTCTAAACTGAAATGAAGGACTCTATGAGATCCATTTCAATTGTGAAAAAGCAAAACAGCAAGAAATAAGCTTTGAAGTTTAAAAAGTGTGAAAACATGTTTGTAATAGAATAGTCTTCATATTCCATTAAAACACTTACATATTACCTTGTACAGAGTATATGATTAAGAAGTATTTGTAGAATTGAACTAAGCCCTGTTAAATATTTTAGTCAAAGATAGAGTCATATCCATTTGTTACTGAATTAGGGATTCAGATTAGGGAAAAGCATTTGGTACTTAAAAATAGTAACTAGTACCAAACAGGATTTACTTGCTTAATCATTATTTAAAACTATCTTTGAGTGGGGAGAGTTACAGTACCACTTTGAGGAACTTACTAAGATTATTTTATTTACATATATTTTACATATATATTTACAAAACAGGTGACTTTATTGACATTTTCACAGTAATCTTTCATAAATTTGGGACATACAAGTTAAGTTTTTCAGTAAGAACTTGTTGGCAGATTGAGCCAGTATGTATTCTTGAAACATCTAAGCACTGTGCTTCTCAAACTTGTAGTTGTAGTGGGCAGGGCATACACAGAGCATCTTCCTTGTCTGCAAAATCAACACAAAAGCTTTGGGGAAAAGGTTAAATAATTTAACTGGTAAGTAATATACATTTTTATGATAAGACAAAGACAAATTAGTAGAATGCAATATTTGCTTTAATTTTTAAGTTCAATTGAGAGACTTCTAAGAAGTTTTGAGTTTGCTGCAGACTGTACTTCCAGATTTCGGGAAACCTGGTTTCAGTTTCTTTGCAGGGGTACTGTTACTAGGAATGCCTTTGAGAGTCACTGCTCCAGTCTCAAGGGTTGTGCTTTCAAACTGTGATTCCCTGGCCTTCTTGTACTTGTGACTCAGTTTTGAAATTAAAACAACAGCCCCCCCCCAAACTTATTACAGATTCAATATGCTAGGAAAAATTATAAAATACGTGGAGTTTTGCCCCTTAAATCCTCCCCATTTAAAAAAAACCTTCACTGGCAAATTTTGTAATCCTATGAATCAGATCTATTAACTGTTAAACCTTGGTTTCTCATTCTAGACCTCTTGTCTTTATATGCATGTATTTACTTTTCCTCTTAGAGAAATAGAAAAATAAGTTTACGTAGTGGGCAAAAACTGCAATTACTTTTGCACCAACCTAATAGTATATACTGATACAACTTGCTTTCTCAGTTATACTGTTAGTGATTCAGGAGATATTTATTGAATGTTGCTCATATGCCAGGCATATTGTGGGTGCTGAATAATCAGCAGTGAACAAACCCATGCAGTATACTTGCCCATGTCGTTCCAGCGATAGTAAGCAAGACAGGAAAAATGTATACATAGTGTTGGTTGGTGATGTGTGCTAAGGAGAGAAACAGAGAAAGGACACAAAGTGTTTGTGTGCGTGGCAGGGGTTAGGTTGGGGACTGGTTTGCAGTTTAAATAGAATAGCCAAGGAAGGTCTTAGTCAGATGGTGACATTGTAAATGGCTGAAGAAAGTGAGGGAGCAAGCCATATATACATCTGGAGGACATCAGGGATCTATTTCTAATTCAAGCACTTCACTTTGGTTGAAAATGTAAATTTTAATTGACTAAGGATTGTTAACTCTATGGAGACCTTGCAATTTAACCAATCACTATACTGTTTTTAGTGTTTTTTTCCCCAGTGCAGACAACTCTGAGATGGACATTCTTGAGTGAACTATCTGCACATTTCTAGAAGTGGAATTTCTGGCTTAAAAGAGCATATGTGCTTTTTAAGGATCCTGGTTTCTAATATCAGATTTGGCTTTCCATGATGTTTTTGTTGTACCACTGTATCTTGTCCTACTGGCAGTAAATGAGGATGCCTGTTTCTTTGTAACATAGCCAGCATGAATCATTATCATTTATTTGGTCTTTGCCAATTGCTAGATTAAAATTGATCCATCAGATTAATTTACTTTTCTTTGGTTTTCTTGGAAAGGCATAGGGTAACAGTTTTTATCTTTCTGGCATCTTATTGAGGAAATATATAATGACTAAAAGCTATTACTGATTCAGTAAGGTATTTAATATCTTAAATACATTTATATTTGATTAATATTTATGTTTATATATATATATATAATTATTCATATAATGCTTAGGGTATGTATAGACTCAGACTTCTAGGCACAACCAACTCTTCATACTCTCATGGGCTTAAGGGTTACAGATTTGGAGCTCCTGATAGGAATTATTATTTGACTGAGGAATAATAGAAATTCCCTTTACTTGAAGCTTAAGTGTTAGAAACCTTTGTCAATTATAGACATTTTATCTTTGAATATGTACCATAAGTCAATATAGACTTTAAAATAATAACCATTTAAAAATAAGTCACGCTTTTAAATAATTTTAGAATGTATTACAAATTTTGTTTACTGTGTTGACTAATGATAGTAAGCAAAGTTTATAATACCTTCTAAAGTTATTTATGTCCACCTGGAACCTCAGGATGTAACTTTATTTGGATATAGGGTCTCTGCAGTTATAATTAGTTGAGATGAGCTTATACTGGATGAGGTTGGGTCCTAAATGTAATATGAATGATATCCTTATAAGAAGAGGCACAGAGACCGATATGCCCAGAGGGAAGGTTGCTCTGGGAAGATGGAAGCAGAGATTAGTTATGCTGATACAAAAAACTAAGAGACATCAAAGATTTCTGGCAACTACCAGAAGGAGGAATGATTCTCCCTAGAGCCTTCAGAGGGAGCATAGCCCTGTTGACAACTTGAGTTTGGACATCTGGCTTCTAAGACTTGAAACAATAAATTTCTGTTCTGAGTCACCCAGTTTGTGAAGGCAGTCCTAGAAATGAATGCAATTAGGAAATTATATTTTACTTCCAATTACTATATTAGAACCACATCAATGGAGTCTAAGCTTTTCTCCTGTGGAAATCTGTTTAAACAAAATTTCCAACAGAAATACAAAATATATTACACAGGTGGAATTATCTGATTAAAGGAGGAGAGGCTAAAATTTCTAAATTAGCATTTCTACCTGTCCTTTCTCCATGTCTTCCTGCCCTGCAGAGCACAGATTGAAAACCATTGGCTAGAAAGTTATGTAAGACCAAAAGTACATTGAGCACCTTTCACTGAGGCTGGGATAGAAAGGCATGTGGAGGCAGCATTTTTTTCCTTAGTGCTTTTTCTTCCTTAGCATTTTTTCCCCTATTTTTTCCTTTTTACTCTCCAGGATCTGGAAAGTTTACCTTATGCAACTTCTTCTTTGTTGAGATGCCAGTGAGGCAGATGATCACTAATATTTATGGAGGTCCTACCCTGTTCCAGCTACTGTGCTTTTTTCTAAAGAGAAAAATCTACCAAGATTTCGTCTGTGGCTTCTCAGAAGCATGTGGGGAACTGTGCCTGTTGAACAGGGCAGGCAGGTGCCAGTGAGTGATTTGAGTGCCTACTGACATATGCATATCTTGATGACATCTTGAGGTAGGCTCCAGGCTACGCTGTCACCTGGCCAGCTGTGGCCCAGGGGAAGGGCTCCTTTTCACTGCTTGTGGCATCTAATAGGTTGTGCTCGGAGTTGAGGGCCATGCTCTGTTAAGACTGGTTGTGCGGAGTTCATACTCCAGCTTTCTGGGGGTTGGTTAATTACCCTTCCTTCCAAGTTCTTAGGACACCTGTTTTTTGCTCCCAGTTGTTGCCTTCATGTATGAGTGTTCTTTCAAATATATCTGGGGAATTGGCTTGGTATGAAAAACTGAGGGTGGTTAAACTATCAGTGTACAAAATACACATTCGATGCAATGGTGTTGGTGAACTTAGTGTATAGATAATGTAGTCTCTAGGTTTTAGCCACTTCTTAAATAGCATACCAGGGAGGAGGTGGGTCAGTAACCAATACCTGTGTGTTGTATGTTGCTTAAAGCAGAAGCTTCCAAACGTTTCCTAGAGAAACAGTATAACCACTCATGGCTTTCTGGGTGGGCTGCTGCCTAGACATGGAGGCTGTGAGCTGTGTTATTTCTGGTGTTTTGGTTCCCTTAAGGGGCTGTTGAGTACTCCTGATTTTGAGGACTGATTTTAACAAAGTTTATTGTAGAAACCTCTGAAAAAGACTCACTGCATTAAAATGTTTTATGCGATTTCATTGAATCTAAAAAACCATTGATTCTAAAATGCACTCCTATTTTCTGTAACACTAAAATAAAAAGATGGCCAATGAAAATATATTGCATTGAATGGGAGAAGTTAAAATGTAAAAAAGTTTGTGGATGAGTATTTGGTAGTTTGCCTATGACTGCAAAAGCTAGAGTTTGAACGCTTAACGATCAGGAAAGTTGTAGATTATGTTGACAGTTCAAGTTCACTAATTTTAAGTTTTTAAAAATAATCTTTAATGGTTTCTGTTATATCCAAACTGGCCAATCAATACATTAAATTTATCATTTTTGTTCCATTAAATGTATTTGATATCACCTCTTTGACATATTGAAACCTTTAATGAGAGTGTATATTTCTAAACCTTAGGGTGAAAGCACATCAGAGTAAGTACAGTCTTCAGGTTTCCTTACCAGGACACTAAAGTTTTCATTGTCTCTTCCTTCTCCCTCCCTTTCTTCCTTCCTTTTCATCTTTCCTAAAGTTTTTCAGTGTATAATCTTTGGAGCTTATGAATCCTTTAGAATTTTGTAGAAGGGAATAGATAATTCATGTCATTTGATAATTATATAATTTGAATTTCCCATATTTACTTTCAGAAAGGGGCCAGGGGTCAAGTTTTCTGCAGGCTCTGCTGCCCTGAGGTGCCATGGCAGAGATGGGCAGCACTGGGAGAGCTCTTTCTCTTGCTATTCTGGGCTCCTGGATAGGTAAGTAGCAGAAGCAGACTGTCATTTTTGGGGGCCTCTAGGCATGGGGTTATTAGAGAAAGTTATGATGCTGTATATACCAAGTTGCTATTTTGAGCTTGCTAAGAATAGGATTGTGTAGGAAGGCAGTACAGGATGGAGTGTTTGATGAGTCATGGGCCTGTCACCACTATCCTTATGAAATGAGCTTTATGAAACGAAACTTCAAAAAGTGACAAGTAAATTGAATTTTCCTTTTATTAAAATGTTCTTCAAAATTATTCACTTTTGAGTTGATAAAGACCCTTGACAAAGGACAAAGAAGATTAAAGTGTGTTTTCCTGAAAGCTCAAGAGCTCTGTTCATTTCTCAGCCTTCGATATCTGGGAGCCCATTTGCCATGGCAAGATTCTGTACTGTGCTTCTCAGCACGAAGATCCATGGAAGCTTTAAAAAAATTTTTATGTGTAATTGATGCTTAGAAGTCCATAGATTTGTTCTGTAGTAATGTTTATGGAACACCAGTTATATGCTAAGCCTTGTGGGGAGCCTGAAAGCTTGAGATGATCACAGAGAGACATTTTACACTGTAGGAAGCTAGGCCCACGTAGTCTGCATATTGCAGAACTGTGTGATTCAGACATAAGTTGCTTGATTTCAAGTTCTGGGCTTTTAATAATGTATTATAGCTAGCTCAGCTAACAGTGTACATATTTATATATACGTTTCCATGTATTTTAAAAAAGAAAAGCCAAAAAAGATATTTAATTAAGGACATTAATTTCAGCTTAAAACCCAATGCTCTGGGAATAGGCTGTCTTACAGTCATATGATATGAGAAACAGAGCAAATATTCATTTTGTTTGTCCATCCATTAAATATTTGAGGATCTACTCTGTAGCAGATACTGTACTTGGTGCTGGGACACAAATGGTGAGCCACTTACATGTTCTCATGAAGCTGATGATCTAGTCGAGGAGGCAGATTTAAAATACAGCAAATCATAATAAGTTGGGTTATCTGTTGTCAAGAAAACAAGTGGATCCTCAAATCCAGAATAATGGGGTGGCATGGTAAGAAAGACTTACCTAAGGAGGGACATTTAAGATGAGAACTGAACACTGAGATTCAAGAGCTTTGAGAAGAGCTTGCCAGTGAGTGGACACCAGAGTTATGGAGGTGGGGGATCCAGATGCTGCAGGAACAGGGTGGTGGTGGGGGAGCACATCAGCTGGGGCCACCAGGCTCTGGGAAGTAGTGTGGATGTCATGTAATTTCTTAGATTATCTTGTTTACTTGTTTACCTGTCTCTCTTCTCTAGAAGTAGGGAAGACGGAGAGACATAGGCAAGTGGGAGGTATGTTTGGAGACGTAACCAACATGATTTGTTTATGAATTAGATGTAGGTGTGAGGGGGAAACAGACAAGTAGGAATCTGAAGCTGTTGACTGAAGCAGTAGTACAGGTTGAGGTGCTGTAGACTGAAATGGAAGGGAGGTGGGTCCGGGCAGAAGAGAGGGCCACAGTGGTGACTTTAGACTCGTTACAGCTGAGGATCTGGCGTGTGTGCAAAGGAGGATGCCAGATGGATGATGGATGTGTCAGTCTGGCTCAGGATGAGACCTGGTGGGGTAGGCGGTCATGGAGCTGGGTAAGGTGGCTTAGGGAGAGGGTGGGGAAAAGAAAGCAAAGACAACTCAGGAGCTAGCTTGGAGGACCTGGGGCAGTGAGAACCAACCAAGCAGGCAGGGAAGAGCCCTGAGGTCCAAGAAATTGAGGCGAGGGTGTTATGTGAAGCAGAAGAGGAGAGAGTGTGAGACACAAGAGCAGTCAGTGACCTGCGGCCTGGGGAGTCGAGGGGAGGAGGCAGCAGGGTGTGGTGGACCCTCGGAGTATTGCAGGTGAATACAAAGGAAGGGGCTGACCACTTATTTTCATATTTGCATGTGTTCTATTCCACACTGAAATGTAAGAAGCAAAAAAGTAGGGGAAGGGAGTTGGAGGCAGCAGGTGTAGACAAGTATTTGCTTTCTTTTGTTCTTTCCCAGAGCTTGGCAATGTGAGGGAACCTAGAAGTCAGGTGGTGGCTCCAGAGAGATTGGGTTGGGGAGAAACAAAGGAAGAGTATGGTTTCAGGATGAGAGATTTGGGGTGATTCAGAGGCTGATATTGTTGTACTGGCCTGAGCATAGAAAGCTAACACCAAGACAAAAGTATGCCAAATTGCAGGGTTTTTATTGCCGGTGGCCATGGAGGACTCGCGTCTCTCCAACCCTTGGCCCTGAAAGGAGGGTGTCAAGACCTTTTATACCTGTAAAAACCACCTCGGGAGTGAGGGTGAGGGGCAGGGGTGGGAGTGAGGGGCTTCAGACGTTCTGAGGGCTAGTGGATTCTGAAAATCACCTCCTGGGCAGAGATGAGGGTGAGGGGCCCAGGACATTCCAATGGATTCTTGGGTGAAGATGAGGGTGAGGAGCTCCAGACATCCGAGGGCCAGGGGATTTTGGACATTCTGATTGTTACTTAAGTGGTTCACAAAAGTCAAGATTAGCATTTGTTTATACATTGTCTGGGTAGGGTGGAAATTATAGTCCTTAATTACTTATTACAAGTTGCAGGGGCCAAGATGGCATGGGTTTGGACTGCTTGCCTGTCACATTTGGGTTACAGAGAGCAGTTTCAATAGAAAGCTGAGGTATGGTTAAGGTATGCAGTTTTATGGGGCTTTTACCATGTCACAATATGAACAGTGTGGAAGAAGGAGGCAGGAACTGGAGGCTGAGGTTTTTGTGCAGAATCTGTGGGTACCTAGAGCACAGGTGCTTTGATAGGAGGAAGTGAGCATTCTCCATTAGAACAGGGGGAAGAAAGTGAGAAAAGCAGGAATATTGGAATAGATTCACAATATGAGGCAGGGACAATGACATGTTTACATTTGAATTCCCACGATACTGAAAATGAATGTATACAAGTTAACATTCTTAGGGATGCTCATTGGTTTAAAGCATTTTCTTTGTTAAACATTTTAAACTTCTTTAATGGTCTGCCTCTCACCTCCCTCTTTCCCTTCTGTGCCTGTCGTCCTGTCTCCTTACCCCACACAACCTGAAATAACTGGAATCCAACAGAAAGTAATCCAACGTGGGTATAAACATTGATTGTACTTGGTTAGAAGAAATTGTGTGAACAATGATTAAGAACGTAGTCAGTCCCCACTGTCTTAACTATAAAGTAGAGATTTTCTCCTTTTGCTAGAAGGACACAGTGAGAACCCCTTTTTCATTAAGTATGTCCAGCGGGGAGGAAGGTAAAAACCTGCTGAATGTCTGTCTTGAATGGGATTTTATTCCAGTTAAATAATTCTGGTGGTTTCGTGATACTTTTCTCAAATGTCTTTAAGCCCAGCTCCTTTTTTTTAAATTGTACTGATTTAAAAAATTATGGATATGAAGTTTTGTGAAATAGTTAAATGAAAACATAAAAATTATATGTAACGAATAATCCAAATGGTCACAAAAGTATGTTTTCTTGCAACTTTGGTGTCTCTACCATTAGAGACTTTTTCTCATTGAAAGTATCTAATTTATTGGCTCTGAATGGGAGGGGTTTTATTTGGGGGATTGATTTAATTAATGCTTAAACAAAGCTTTTGTTTAAACTCTCAGAAAGTCTCTGGCTAACTATAGCTAGAGCTTTAAGTGGTGGGGACACTTACATGGTGATACATATCCAATAGGCATGGCGTTAACTGTCTTTTTCCTGAGGATCTACTTTATTTCTTCTCAGTACTATCAAAATTTTTGGACTGATTATTTTCCTATAAAACACACAGTAACCTGATTCTCTTGAAAAATAAACAAATTTAAAATCATAACAATCATGAGTAGAGAGGATGGGCAAGCCCTTTTAAATTGGAGGGGGGACTTCTCTTGTTACTTGGTAACAAGTAACTTGGTAGCTCTCTTGTTACTTATCCTTTTGCTGAAGATTTATATAGGCCCACTCCTGACTTCTTGACACTAGTGATACTTCCTAGTCACTTTCAGATTCTTACTGTGTTTTGTAGAATTCTGAGATCATAGAAATAGGTGGAATATTGAGACCACGTCTCAATATCATATTTAGACATATAAATGAAACAGACACTTCAGAAAAATTTATGGCCCTTAGTGTCTCATTGAAGCCGCAGAGGAAGCAGTCAAAAGCCTGAGGGTGTTCAGAAGGTGGTACCTGGATTTGGTGTGGGTGAGATGCGAATTAGCTGATATTTCCCATTTTACTTACTTTTTTAGGGAAAGGGATTCTGTGTTTTTCTTATTAATAGCTAAGAATATGTTCTCTGATTGTCTTTTTATCTCAATAAAGAAACGTGTAGTTTAGGCCAGGTTTGGCGGGCAACATGGTGAAACACCACAAAAAATGAGCCAAGCGGGCGTGCGCCTGTAGTCCCAGCTGCTGTGGAGGCTGAGGCGGGAGAATGGCTTGAACCTAGGAGTTCTAGGCTACAGTGAGCCCTGATCATGCCACTTCATTCTAGCCTGAGTAACAAAGGAAGACTCTTTCTGTGCAAAAATAATAATAATAAATACGTAGTTTCATGGGGCACACTGAAATCCTGCCTGTTGATTCACAGTGTGTGAACATGTTTAAAATGCTGAGGAAGTTAGCTCTTCCACCCCTTGGCTCTATCTATGGTTTATGTCATGAGAATTAGAATAACCAGAAAATTTCAATAAAGAAAATAATTGAAGATGAGGGTACAGTTTGCCTCTTGTACAGGAGTGGTCTGTTTATGGCCTTTTTGCAGATGAGCAGCCAGTTATTTTCTGGGTGATCTGTAGATTAAGCCCTGGTCCACTCTGGTGATTTATTTATTTTTTCCCTTTTTGCAGAATGCCTTCAGAAATCTTGCTGAAGATATTTTCCTACTTGGATGCTGTGAGCCTGCTGTGTACTGGATGTGTGAGCAGGCGCTTTTATCATCTAGCCAATGACAAGTAAGCAGAAATCCAGGTCTCTGTTATGTTTTGATGACAGTTTGATGGAAGTCAGGAAAACTAATAGGAACTTTTTAACCATTTTAAAAAATTTAAGAGAATTCAAGCGTATTTTTACACACAAGTGAAAATATTGAATGCTTTACTATGAAATTTTCAAATATTTGCATTTATATGCTTAAAGGGATGTACTCTGCATGGACCAAAAAGATCAAACTTGTCATTGCTGTGGCTGTTGGAGAATGTGGCTTCAGGCCTGTTGCCAGGAGGACTTGGCTGTGTTCCCCCCAGGATTAGCTCTAATCACAGAGTCTCAAGCAGCACGTGCAGGGACCTGCTGGCTTTGACCCTGGCCCTCTGTTTGCAGAGTAGAATGAGTGCCCTCTGCTGATGGCCAAGTAGATCCTAAAGAAAGAAAAGGAAGAGGCTAAGTTAGGTGTATTTAGCTCCTCCTCCCAAACATGCTAATCAGGTTAACTTACTTTGTGGGGAAAGTGAAATGGACAGAGAGAAGCCAAGACTGTCCTCTCCTGGAGGCTGTATCCTTGGAAGCAGGGAGCCAGAAGAGAGGGTTTCACCTGTGCTCACCTGGGCTTGCAGGGGTGTCTAGGAACAAAGGGGAACAAACCCCTCCTTCTGTTTGTCACTATAATTGTAGTCTGCATCTCATAATTATATCTTGGAGGGAGAGATGGTGGAATCCTCCTGATTTTCAGTGAGGATTTTGTGGCCTATAACAGAACATCTTGGCTTTTTAGGCCCCTCTCTCATTTAGCTTCAAAAGATCAGACAAGTATCATTCCCACATAGAACCTACATGTCAGCTGGGAAAATCAGCAAGATCAGAGGGAATGCAGATTTTAGCTGGTGGGTTTGTTTACTAGGTAAGGAGATGGAGAATGGCCGAAGGAGGGCTGTTGTATTAGTTAACCCTGGAACATAGTGGGCAAGAATGTCATTTGGTGCAGTGGTTCTCAAATGCCATCCTAAGAAGACTACATATGAACCACCTGGGAAAGTTTAAAAAATTTACATCCCTAGTTGGTATTTTTAGAGGTTATAATTTAGTGCTCTGAAATCTGCATTTTAAAGATTCTCCAGGTCATGCTAGCAAATAGTCAAGTTCTGAAATGACTCATCTCGTCTGTCTTTAATGTTAGGTGTATGCCTCTTAAGTGAGGAACTCAGAATAAGCCCTCAGATCTTATTAAAACTGTCCTCAACCATTCTCATGCTCTCAAGAGGACATATACTATTCCCTGGTTGGAAAGGGTGATTTTTCTTTTAATTTAAGGAGATGTTTCCCGTATGGAAGAATACGTGTCTGTCTGTGTCAATACATGCACACACACACACACACACACATATCAATGAGTGAAATAATCATTTTCTTGACAGTATAAAATGAATTAGAGCAATTTTTATGTTTCTCTTTCTCAGTGATTGCTGTATTTACATAGTTGGGATTTGTTTCCCCAAGCCTTATGTTGAAATTTGATCCCCAGTGTTGGAAGTGGGGTCTCTGGGAGGTCTTTGGGTCACCAGAGCAGATCTCTCCTGAATGACTTAGTGCCTTCCTTGTAGTTGTTGCTTTAGAGCTGGTTGTTTTAAAAGAGTATGGCAGGCCTCCCTCCCTTCTCCTGCTTGCTCTCTTCTCTTTCTCTCTCTCTCTGCCTTGTGATCTCTGCACAGTTGGCTTTCCTTGGTCTTCTGCCATAGTTGGAAGCTTCCTGAGGCTTCGCCAGAAGCAGATGCTGGTGTAGTGCTCCTTGTACAGCCTGCAGAACTATGAGCCAAATAAACTTTTCCTTTACAGATTACCCAGCCTCAAGTATTTCTTTGCAGCAACACAAACAGACTCAAACAATGATCTAAAAAGAGATGAAGGTGGTCACTAAAAGAAAGCACAGCAAGGCATTTTTCAAGGAAGGAATCAACTGAATGTCTAAAACTGTAGCATTCTGGAGGGTTCTTACTTTATTTATGGATAGAACTCAGACTTCAGATAAGCTGATAAATTATATGTTTCTTAGTTTCTTTACTGTCTCGCCTCTCCGTTTCACCTGCATGGTGAAGAAACTGGGCCCTTAATTGGATGTGGAGCATGGTTCTAGTGCTGCTTTTCGCATCCCTAGATTACTTATGTGCCCTCCTCACTTTCTTGGAAGTTGTCATTGGGAAACAGGAGTTTCTGATGAAATTGCACTCACATTTCTTTTGTTTTTTGAAGGACATATCTAAATTGTGCTAAGTTGAATTCTACTTTTTAGTTCTAGCTAAAGCACCTAAAGAGTCATAGTCTGACTCTTAAAGCCAAAGTCTGATCATGAAGTCAAACTACATAAAAGGATGTGTGATAATTGAATGATTAATTGATATGTGTTTTTGAAAAGTTGACAGTAGATTCTAAGTGTTGCTTCTGAGGAGAGGGCAGGCACACATAGTGTAGTGAGTTACACTGATGACTTACTGGAAGACAGGCTTGAAGGGCAGGGGGCTCCCCAGTGCTCCATCCCAGCAATGGGGGGCTGCTCCCTTCTGTATGAGCACTGGCCTCTGCGTGGAAATAACCAGATGCGGTGGCATCTGGTTTATCGCAAGGGGGTTTTATTTGCCATGTACTCTGGGAAACACTATTTATCTAAGCATTACATTGGCCCCATTTTCTGAACAACTTGTTGGAAGTTTCCCTGAGCCCCTGATTGGTAGTCATATTAGATAAATATGCCCTTGTCTTCAAACCTGCCTAGGCCTTCTAACAGGATGGAGCATTTGGGGATCAAGAGGTAAATGTGTTTGGGTTTTGGAGACTGTGAAAAGCATCTGAACCTTAACATTTGTGCATAATAAAAAATCAGGGGCATCATCTGCAATATAAAATGTTTTTACTTAGGTTTACTTATGGTTAATAATATATGATCTTGTGTATGAGCATAGTTCATCATACGAATATTTAGGTGTGGTTATTGTTACTAAATACATGTGGAATTTATGCTATGATTCCTCTCTCTGTGGCAGTGTTTGTTTTTGTAGGTTGTAAGTGCTAGCACATGTAAAAATAGTATCAATGGTGGTTTAGGTAGTGCTGATGTGAGGAATTCGAGGCTCCATAAAGGTCCTGCTAAAGGACACTTACCATAGAGTGAGTTGCTGAGTAAAATAAATTTGAAGAAAACACAAGCAAGCTTTTATGCAAAGAGAGTTTTAAAAATGTCTATTTAAAGGATTTTGGTGAAAGAGCTTTAACTTTACTTAGGGGTACTCAACTAATTATTGTATTGCATCTATCCACTTGCATAGGAAAGTCCAGAAATTTCTGAATTGAAAACAGAAACACTTTAATATAAAAGCTGAGCATGAAGTGATTTTACGGGGTGAGAAATGACTTAAGAAACTCACACTAGAAAGACATGTCAACCAGGGTCTGACTATATGTGAGCTTGTGTTTGGTGGGAAGTTCATGTAATGTCTGAGTCAAGGAGGTAGCATTCTGAAGTCATGTGTTTGAGAAATGGTCCTTTTCTGCTATGGTTAAGGAAATAGCTCTGCCTCCCCAGAGCACCCAGGCTTATCCCCAGGGGTCCTGCTGCAGTTCAGGACCACTGCTCTGTGGAGGAATCGCTTTCTCCCTGCAGCCTCCAGGCCATTGACTGCTTCATTCCATGCTGCTCTGAGTACTAATGTGGAGACATAAATGGGCAAATCATTAATTTTTAAAATGCAAAATTTGCCTTTCAGATAAGGAATTGATTTTAACCCCTGCCTCAGTTTTTCCTGTGTCTTCCTTCTCTTCCCTGGTGGAGAGTACTGGCTGAGAGGGAAGAGTCCTTGGGCCAGCTCACTGCCACTGCTCGTGGGGCTTCTCCCAGCCTCTTAGCAGAGATGAGTGGAAGGAACAGACTTTGAGTCGGAGCTGAGTTTGAATTCCCACATTGAGGCTTATTATATGGCTGTCTGAATTTGGGGAGCTTATTCAGTTTCTTTGATCCATTTCTTTGTGATTGAAGAGGCAGTGAAACTCATGTGATAAGAGTGTGAGCTCTGGTTCAGATCCCAGCTTCAATATAAACTTGAGTGCACAGACCTCGGCCAGCCTGCTTTTCATGTGAGCCTCAGTTACAACATCTGTGCATTGGCGACAGGAATAGCAGTGCCTCCTGGTTTCTTTATGAGGAATAAATGAGTAATGTATAATACGTAAATTGCTTAAACAATGCTTAACACATAGTAAGTGCTCAAAAAACTTATATTGACTATTGTTTAGTTGTTACCATTAATAACCTTCACTTTTTTGCTCCTTCTGAAAGCATATTCCTTGTTGAAATTAAAAAGCAAAAAAATGTACAGTTCTGTTGTTCACTGTTGAAATTTTTTGGTGTGCGTACATATATCATTTCTGATCTTTTTAAAAGCATGTATATATTTAAAAACAAGAATCATACTACATATACTTTGTTACTTTTAAAATAATAGATTTCCTATTCCATTACTGATGTAAGAGGGCAGTGGTTTGGATGATCCTAAATGACATGAGAATTATTTACTTGAGACCCGACCCTGGGAAATGGGCTTTTCCTTTTTTTAAAATGTGTTTTTGGTGGTGTTGAATTTAAAACACTAAATCTCAAACTGCAATTCACTTCAACAGATGAAAAACTGTAAATACTCAGCTTGACCTATTCATGGAATTGGATTATTTGAAAATATTATGCATCTCTAATTTGAGATATAACTATAGGTAGGTGACAATGTCTCTTATTTAACACATTTCCTCTTTTCCCTCCAGTTTTATTTGGATCAGAATCTACTCAACTGCTTTTTCATCTACAAGATCGAATTGGAAAGTTAATTCAGTAGAGAAGATAGCTATATCTATGAGCTTTCTGTCAGTTCAGGATAAAGAAGCTGGTTATTGGAAGAAAGAATATATCACAAAACAAATAGCATCTGTAAAAGCTGCACTAGCCGACATTCTCAAACCTGTTAACCCTTACACAGGCCTTCCAGTTAAGACCAAAGAGGCCCTCAGGTATGCAGTGTGTTCTTGAACACCGGACACAGTGGTTACTTGACAGTACTCTAAAATGTTTGTTTATAACCAAAAGAGAATGATGGTATCAGCTGAAAGTATTGTGTACATAGGACATATGTACAATTTAGATTGTGTGGGACTGTCTCTAGTATTTTTGTGTCTCTATAAAGTATGTAGCATTTTCCTGTTCCACATAGCCTTCTGCATCTGCTGATTCAACCAACTGCAGATCAGAAGTCTTCGGGGGGGGGGGAGGAGGAACCTGAAATAATAACAATATAAAAAAGAATACAAATAAAAACCAATACATTATACATAATAACAGTTTGCACAACATTTATGTTGTATCAGGTATTACAGGTAATCTCGAGATGATTTAAAGAATACAGGAGGAGGTGTATAGGTTATATGCAGATACTATGCCATTTATATAAGGGACTTGAACATCCACAGATTTTGGTATCATGGGGGTCCTAGAACCAATTTCCTGCAGACACAGAGGGATAACTAGTAAATAGCCTAAAGTTTTAATGAAAAGCAGAAGTAACGTACTTATCTGCTCTAGCACAGTAAGAGTGTTCAAGGTGTCTTCTGGGCAGAACTTTTGTCTTATTTATATATTGCCAGTACCTGGAAGATCATAGATGTTCAGGAGGTGTTAGGTGAGGAGAAAAAGTCTAAAGAGAGTACCGTTGTTGAAATGAACATTGTAATGGGCATGTTCTGAGAAGTTTGACTTTGGCTTTTAAGGATCTAGATGCTTTGGAGAAGATATGTGAAATTGCCTTTAGCATTTTTTTTTTTCAATGAGGCAGATATTGCTATCTTTCTTTTCTCTCTCCAGAATATTTGGTTTAGGCTGGGCAATTATACTGAAAGAAAAAAGTGGAAAAGAATATATCATGGAGCATGTTGATCTTTCCATAAACGACACCTCAGTTACTGTTACATGGTATGGCAAAAATTGGCCGTGCCTAGCATCATTGTCAACCTTAGATTTATGTGGTGTGACACCAGTTTTTATGGACTGGTATAAAACTCCCACCAAACATAGGTAAGTACCAATCAGCAGAACTGTTGAGTGAGAGCATCTTATATATAAATATTACTTGGCATTACTTTTGTAATTAAAAAATACCAGCAACACTTTTTAATTTTATCACATATTAAATGTACATTCTGCATCACTGTAGAAGAGGAAAAGAATACATTTTATCACATTTCTGATTAGGTCTAAATTTAAGTTCCTCATATCTTGGTTGTCTTTAATGGTAGGGAATGATATTCTAGTTAACAAAATTTTCTGTATGATTGATGGCTAACCTTTGAGGTTTTTCATTTTAACTATCTTAGAAAAATATATGATGTCTTCCTTCTTTAGTAAATGGTATACTAATCATAGTCTAAATATGAGGAAACCAAGTGATAATTAATAGTTATTTTGTCTGCCTTCTGTTGAACTTACTAGATACGTGATCCTGTGCAAGTAACTTACTCTTTCTGTGTCTTCTTTCTCTCCTCTGTGAAATGAGATGATCATTATACTGGCATACTATTTAGCATATATGACTGCAGTGAACAAGATCTATCAAAAGATATCACTGTAATATGCATAGAACAGCTAAGTGTGCAGCACATGGGTAATGCTTAGTGAGCCCTTTACTATTCTGTTGTCAGGTGGCTTTGCACTGAGTTCATATTCACTAGGAGGCTGGCATCTGCCTTTCTGAGCAGATCTCTCAGGTTCTCTTTTTCATCACTGATTGCTTCCTCCTAAAAGCTGGATTATGGCATGCATGCATAGCATCCTCATCTCTGGAGCAAGCTAACATAGCTTTATATAAGATATATTGAAAATGTAAAGGTAATACCTGCCTTCTTCCATGTTGGTTTCTTGCCCTCCTGTCTCCTTCACTGTCTCAGTGTTCTTTGACTTTTCAGGAATATTTACTGTGGTGTTTTCTTACCATCTTTGCATGCTGCAGTTCCACCCATTGGTTTCTCTCCCGTTTGTCCTCACTACGGAGGATACTGTGATATCTGACATTAGTGTCTGCCATCTCCATGGAGGGACAGGGTTCTTTCATGGTTTCCCTGGATACGGACACTTTTTTTCTTTCTTTCTTTTTTTTTTTTTTTTTTTTTTTTTTTTGCAGCTCTGTAACTGGAGACTTTGTTTTGGCTCCTCTCCATGGTTCCTGCTCTTTGAGTATTGTTTTAGTGATTACTGAGCTCCCTTTCCATGTTCTGAATGTAAGAGTATTCAGACCCCTTAGTGCTGGCAAATCCAGGTTTTATTGTAATCTAAAAAATATTCTTAATGTTATGATGAAAAGTGAATTATTTTTCCTGAATATGTTACTGAAGATACTTTGGAAACAGTTACCTTTTTAAAAAATGGTACTTTTATTTGGATAGATCTTTGAAATTTCATATGATATCATAAAGGAAACCAGCTTTTTCTAATGTTGTAGTTAGGGTTTATTCATTTCAAAATTATGTTTGGAGAATAAGTCCACAAACTGTGCTAGTTTTGCTAAACAGTATATGTTACTTGGCATATCATGAAATGTTATTTACAGATATTAGGACAAAATGGTTAACATTAATTCAAATGATCCTGAAGAATCAGTTAAAAGGATAATGTTGAATTGTAAAGCCCAGTTAAAGACAGTATGTCCCTGAAATTTTCATGAAGGTCAGAAGTAATAGATACTACATAGTGTCAAATGCTAGAATTCATTGGGAAAAGTCATTTGATGTAATTTATTTCTGTGAAATTTCAATGGACTTCAGCCAGCCTTTGATATACTGTGATACAGAAAAACCCCAAAAAACTAAAAGTGTTTTTTAGGAATTTGTTTTGATCGGCACTTTTATTGCAAGTTTGTAAGTGAATGCTTTCATTATTCAGGAATAGAACTCCTTGTATGCATCTGTGTGACAGCCAAGAAGAGACTTTGTGATTTTTATTTGGGTCTTTTTTGTTTCCTCTATGAGAAGTTTCTCAACAACAGCGAAAGCTTTATCGATGTAATTTGGATTTCCCTGTAATTTATACCTTTCTAGTCAGACTCTAAATTTTCATCCTTGCCAGCATTTTCTATTGTGCAGCTGGTGCTGTCCCACTCTAAATTTGTGAGAACTGTTGAGGAAACGTCAGCCTTAGTTTCTGTGTCTGTGGCTGTAAGGCCAAGCACATGAGGACTCAGCACTTTCTGAGTCTATTTAATAAACACCTCTACAGCCAGATTTTGAGAGAAGAGGGTTTCTCACATGCCTACCCAGCCTCCTGTATTCACATTAGTGATGATACCAGCAGGGACTGCTATTTATTGAGCACCTGCCCTGTGTCCTGTGCTCTTGTGCCTGCTGAGCAGGCTAGTGATCTCACACACAAAGAACCAGCTGTGATAGTCATGAAGTCACTGTAGATTAAAGCTAAGGTTTTAGCTCAGGTTTCCCTGACTCCATAGTGAGGTTCAGGACCCTGCATTTATCCTCCTCCAGTGTATTCTGCATATGCTGGGTTTATTTTTAATATATCATCACACATACTCACCAACCATCTCTCCTTATCCAGTTGTGATTCTCTGCACAAGAAGTTCTTTTGAAAAGTTGAACATGGGACTAGGGTCATGTCGTAGCTACTGATTTGGTTTTGATGCATCACAGTACCTTCCACTTTGAAACAGGACTGCAGCTTGTCTCCTTTTTAATTCGCTTGTTTAATGTACCTGTTGCCTGCTGGCTTGTGCCTGAGGTGCTGGGCACCAACTTTTGAATGAGATGTGGCCCCAGCTCCTTAGGGATTTCAGTTTAATGCTGCGTAGTGTCTCCTTTGTGAAAACACTGGTGATTTAGTTTATTTCTAATGTGTCAGCTTTCACTGTCTCTGAGTTATCCTTGATAATAACTTTTAAAGGCCCAGCTGCTTTGTGACCACCTCCTGAAACTACCTGTTCTTATGTCACTTGAAATAATATATCTTTGCTTTTGTGTTGTTTCAATCAGTTGACTAGGAATACACATTGAGAGTCTACTTTAGATTGTAGTATTGTGCTGGGTTTGGAAGGAATAGAACAGGAGACAGTTCTGCCACTTCATCACTTTCGTGATCCTTCAACTTCCTTCTGGCTAGGTTGAGTCGACAGCAAGAGCAAGATGGAAGGGAAGAAAAACCTAGCTGGGTTGGAAATTTGAATGTATCAATTTTGCCATTTATTCATTTGTGTCCCCACCCTACCAACGTGCCGCTTAGTTTGAGCACATCATTAACATGCTCTTCAAACACATTTGTGATACACTAAAGAGAACTGACAGCACTGTAGACAGGAAAGCTCACTTCTCTCTCTCCTTCCCTTGGCATAATATTCAAAGACTCCGATGGCATTCTTTAATTGCAAAGTACAATCTGAGTCATTTGACTGAATCTACCATGATTGGCTGTGACAGACTTATTCGGATCTTCTGCCTGCACCCTGGCCTCCTGGTTGGACTCTGGAAGGTAAGACTTGAGTCCCTTATGTACTGTGTCATTTCCCCATCACAATACCACGTTTACTTATCATTATGTATGACATGAAATGTAAAATCCTTTAAGGCTTTTCAGTAACTGCAATCCATTTACCATCTCACCAACTTCATTTTTTCAAGCTAACATGGCCCTTTCTGTTCCACTGAGGCTGCTCTGCTGTTCTGCTATCATAAACAACAAACCACTTCCTGCCTTCATGTTTTTCTTCATGTTATTCCTTTAACGTCATGTGATGTTCCCCCTTCCAATTAGTCCACATTCCTTCTTCTCTTCCTTTCATGCTCTTTCTCTGACGTTTCCCTTTCTTTTTTTTTTCTTTGCAAGATACCTAGACCCTATATTTTGTCTCTACATTTTCATTTTTTTTCTTTTTCTTTTTTTATTGTACTATAGGTTCTGGGGTACATGTGCAGATCTTGCAGGATTGTTGTATAGGTACATAAATGGCAAGGTGGTTTGCTACCTCCATCTCCCCCATCACCTATATCTGGCATTTCTCCCCATGTTATCCTTTCCCCTTCCCCAAACTCCTCACCCCCTGCTGTCCCTCCCTTAGCACCCCCTGCAACAGACCCCAGTGTGTGATGTTCCCCTCCCTGTGCTCATGTGTCCTCTTTGTTCAACACCTGCCTATGAGCAAGAACATGTGGTATTTGGTCTTCTGTTCCTGTGTCAGTTTGCTGAGAATGATGGTTTTCAGATTCTGATGGTTTTCAGATTCATCCATATCCCTTCAAAGAACATGAACTCATCTATTTTTATGGCTGTGTAGTATTCCATGGAGTATATGTGCCACATTTTCTGTCTAGTCTATTGTCAATGGGCATTTGGGTTGGTTCTAGGTCTTTGCTATTGTAAATAGTGCCGCAGTGAACCTATATGTGCATGTGTCTTTATAATAGAATGATTTATAATCCTTTGGCTATATACCTAGTAATGGGATTGCTGGGTCAAATGGAATTTCTATTTCTAGATCCTTGAGGAATCGCCACACTGTCTTCCACAATGGTTGAACTAATTTACACTCCCACCAACAGTATAAAAGTGTTCCTATTTCTCCACATCCTCTCCAGCATCTGTTGTCTCTTGATTTTTTAATGATTGCCATTCTAACTGACATGAGATGGTATCTCAATGTGGCTTTGATTGCATTTCTCTGATGACCAGTGATGCTGAACATTTTTTCATATGTTTGTTGTCCTCATAAATGTCTTCTTTTGAAAATTGTCTGGTCATATCTTTCACCTACTTTTGAATAGGTTTGTTTGTTTTTTTCTTGTACATTTGTCTTAGTTCTTTGTAGTTTCTGGATATTAGGCCTTTGTTAGATGGGTAGATTGCAAAACCTTTTTCCCATTCTGTTGGTTGCCGGTTCACTCTAATGATTGTTTCTTTTGCTGTGCAGAAACTCTTAAGTTTAATTAGATCCCATTTGTCTATTTTGGCTTTTGTTGCCATTGCTTTTGGTGTTTCAGTCATGAAGTCCTTGCCTGTGCCTGTGTCCTGAATGGTTTTGCCTATGTTTTCTTCTAGGATTTTTACAGTGTTAGGTTTTATGTTTAAATCTTTATTCCATCTGGAGTTAATTTTAGTGTAGGGTGTAAGGAAGAGGTTCAGTTTCTGCTTTCTGAAAATGGCTAGCCAGTTTTCCCAACACCATTTATTAAACAGGGAATCCTTTCCCCATTGTTTTTGTCAGGTTTGTCGAAGATCAGATGGTTGTAGATGTGTGATGTTTCTTCCAAGGCCTCTGTTCTGTTCCATTGGTCTATATCTCTGTTTTGGTACCAATACCATGCCGTTTTGATTACAGTAGTCTTGTAGTATATTTTGAAGTCAGGTAGTATGTGATGCCTCCAGCTTTGTTCTTTTTCCTTAGGATTTTCTTGGCTATGTGGACTCTCTCTTGGTTCCATATGAAGTTTAAAGTGGTTTTTTTCCAGTTCTGTGAAGAAGGTCAATGGTAGCTTGATGAGGGTAGTGGTTAACGTCACCCTTTCTGTGTGTTCAGCCTGGTCGTCTCCCAAGCACATTCTGATCCTGTAGATGTGGCATTGAGTGAAATCTGCTCTTCAGGGTGAGGTGTCTAAGATGTTATCTTTTCTCTCTGCATAAGGTTTCTTGTTTTACCAGGTCAGGCTGATATTTTAAGATAGCCGTTGACAAATCTGATTCTGAGATGGTAATATGCATGAATGTACAATGACTAGATAAAATTAAGACCCCAGCTTCAGACAACACCATCCTCTTGTCCCTTTTCCTTTCCTCAGCTGACTGTGGGCATCAGTTTTTCTTTCCCTCCTCTACTTTCTGTGTGAAGGTGGCTTGTGGGTGAGGCCACAGTTGCCTGCTCTGTCTTTCGTGACTCACATGCATCCAGCTGTGTTGGGTGCAGAGTTGTGAACACTCTGGTGGCTTCAGTTGTCCTCTGCCTACCTACTGGAGGATGACACCTTCAGATTTGCCATTTGGGGTTACCTATGCCCATCAGTGTCAACTGTGAATTTGGGGAGAAATGGAGGTCAGTTCCCAAACAGTCACATTTTCTGCTATTCGACCTGATGGACAAGTGAAGAATTTGAATCTAATCATTCCTACCACATTTGTCAAATCAAGCAATTACTTGCAAGAGGAACATTGTGTCAGTAAGGTTCAGTATTTGTGGAATTAATCTGGTATCTGTGAAGGTCTTTGAAAAGAGTTTGAAACAGCCTGGAACTAACAATGCATATTTTCACAACCATTATATATATATCTTTTGATATTTTGCAAGCTCTAGGTTGTGAGTTCTTTTGGTCCTGTGTGCTCTGCATGTTGGGGTGAATTGTGGTCCTACTGTCAATATGAAGTATAAGTCTTATTAGATAGTAATAATGTATTAACAGTAATAATGCATTAGCACTGTGGTGATCTTATGGTTGTAAGAAACTGCATCTATCTGCAAGATGAATGTGCTGTGATCTTCACAACGACCTTGTGAAAAATTAAAACATTTTGGTTGAAATATGTATTCTTCTCAATTAATTTTTCAGAAGGAGGAAGAACTGGCTTTTGTTATGGCAAATCTTCATTTCCATCACCTTGTGGAGAGGAGCACATTAGGCTCAGCCACTATGTATGTATTTATATGTGGGTGTGTTGAATTTTTATGCAGTAAAGTATTAGAAGTTGATGCTGTCTTACTATCCTGAGAATAGCTGCAGAGATACTCTGTTTTTAATCAGTAAATGCAGACCAACAGGCATAATTACTTAGCTGTAGCTAAAATAGGTGGATTATTCACAAGTTCATATTTGCTTCATCTATTTTGGTTTAAGGAATTTATACCTGGTAGGATGTTATTTCATTGCTTCAAGATGCCACTACTGTCCTTCAAGTTTTGCTGTTATGTGAATTTTTACATCTTGCAAGGCATGTAGACTCATGGCCCCTGGGCTAACTCTGGCCTGCGGATGATTCTTTCTGGTCTGGACAGTATTTCTTAATGAATTTGAGTGTCTTTAGGTAGGGCACAGGCTTCCCATTTCACTATTTTCCTGTGGACTTAGACTCTTCCTGACTCATTTTTTTTTTTTTATTACCTGAAAAGTTCCTGAGTATTTTTGAGTTTGTCACTTTATGTAGTCATTTTTTCTTGTTGAATAAAGCCTTGCTTGTCTTGGCTTTGGGTCTGCCTGGGTGTCTGCCCTGCAGATCGGTGTTCAGTGCCTTTTCCTGCTGAGCACTTCTGTGCCCTGGACACGGAGGGGCAGAGTGGCCTTTGTAGTGCAGCCGCCCTGGGGTCAGCTGCAGAACCACGTACACCCGTACTGGGCTGTGGCTGCCTATGGAACTCACATCATTGCCTGTTTTTACGGAAGTTGGTAAAAGAACATTAAGCAGTCTTTTAAGTTTACGGTATTGAAGATTATAGGGAATCCTATGGCATTTCATTTGTAGGAGGTAGTGCTTTGATATGGATGCTAATTTTTTAAAAAGTATTTTCAAACCAGGAATTTTATCCCTGGTGTTGACAAGTTTGTATGCTTCTTTTGTTTTCTTTTCAGCCCCTATGAACTGCCTCCACATAGCCCCTTTTTGGATGACAGCCCTGAGTATGGACTGCACGGCTACCAACTCCATGTAGATCTGCACAGCGGTGGGGTTTTCTACTTGTGTGGCACATTTCGCAATCTCTTCACCAAAAAAGGTGAAATTAATTGACTTTTTATTTCATTAAGAAATTAAAGGTTGAGATAAGGAAACTAATTTTTATGTCTGAGTTAGGAATTGTCCTCCCTGGTCACTTTATAATCTTTTGGCACCAGTATCCTACCAGACCCCTGTGTCATCCTGGGGCTTGTGAAAGTCCTCATTGGATTGAGGCTCTTCAGCTCTGGCTCTGTCTCTTCAGCTCTGGCTCTGTCTCCTTCATCACCGTCACTCTCAGTGCCACCACTGGGATCTCTACTGATGCTTCCTTATTATTTTTCCAAGCACGCTCCTTTCCTGAGACTTCTCTTCTTTCTCAAAGGAATGTGATAAATTTGCCAGCAGTGCCCATGCCACTCCTATCCAGGATGAGAGTAAAGAGAAACCAGGCTTTCTCCTCTATGTACTGCATCAGTGTTTGCCATGCCTACCAAAGCCAGGACAGAGGCTGGGGCTGACAGTGGAAGGGAGGGGTCTTAGGCCAAGCAGGAAAAAAGAGGGAGTGTAGAATTCCCCATTCTGACTTATCTGATTATTTCTTTTGGGTTTCAGGTTTCATTCTTTTGTAGCATGTAAACTTGGAGTTTTATGTAAGGACTTGCTTAGAGTCAAAGTTAACATTTCTGTTAAAAATATTTTAAAAGGTAAGTTATGTACTTCATTTTGCACTATATTGAGAAGTATGTAGTATCAGGTTGTCCTACTATTAGTAATGCCAAGTTTATCATCTGGTTAAGATAGTGACCACTGGATAGCTTCATTATTAAAAGTGTTATTTTCCAAATATCCTGGTCCTCCAAAGTCTTTAACCTAGTGGACTTGACATCTATTAATGATCTTTGCCTAAATCAAATATTTTGTTTAAAATTGTTGATTTTCTAATTATGTCACTATTTCTATATTTATTAAGTAAGCTTTTGTAAAGAACTTCCTCTTATCAGCTGGGTGAACTTCTATAAAGGCAGAGACAATGCTTAATTCTTTCCTTTTAACTGCCAATTTTCAGATGAAGAAATTGATGTTACAGAGCAAAAGGGGCTTGCTGCCTGATGTGCTAGAAACCAATACTGTGACACCAGGTTTTTGAGAAAAGAAAAGCTTTGTATGGCCAGTCCACTGACAAGGAGTTGGGAGTGCAGCTCAAATCTGTTTCCTCATGGTGGCCTTAAGGCAGTAATTTTATTAGAAAAGGTTTAGGGAGTGGATTCTGGGATTGGTAGGTGATTGGTGGAAGGAAAGGGAGATCTGAAAAGTCCTCAAGCGTGGTTCAGTTATCTCTTTATGCCCTCATGAGTCACTTGCAGATTCAGGAGGAGTTAGTATGAAACGTGGTGGGAATTCAGGCTCTGATGTCAGCAAGCTCCATCTATGAAAACTCCAGTTGGCCGTATTGATTTCGACTAATTTCAGCCAGTTTTATCTTACAAGTGGAGGGAGTTTTAGTATTTCAGTAAGTCACTTATTTTCTTATCTGCCATCCTGCAAACTCAAGTATTACTGTTAGTCATTAGTTTCTTTCAGTCTGGAGCACAGTTTCATTGATGCAGTAGTCATCTCCTGTGGTGGAAAAAATTTGAGCTCTTCTTCTTTCCTCCCAGTGCCCTCCACCCTCCCTTTTTAAGTGTCACTTTGGACTCTTGGATACTTATTGAATAATTTATAATCAGTTAGAGACATTATTATTTTTGAAGTTAAAATTGTCCCCAGCTTGGTTGGTGGGATCTACTTCAGGCTGCTTCTGTGTCCTGTAGATATCCCATTCATCTTTGAGTTTTCCTTGCTTTTTGGCTTAGGAAGATTGCTAGGATTTCTTGTGTTTGTTGTCATTTTTAATAGAATTATTCAATTCCATATATTAATATGAGGTATGTTAACATCTTTGTTGTTGAATTGTTCCAACCAAGAATGTGGAATGTCTTTTAGTTTGTTTAAAATATATATATATACGTATATGTATATATGTGGTACTTTAGGTTCTGGGGTACATGTGCAGCTCATGCAGGATTGTTGCATAGGTACACACATGGCAATGTGGTTTGCTGCCTCCATCCCAGCATCACCTACATTTGGCATTTCTCCCCATATTATCCCTCCCTGACCTCCCCATCCCCTGGCTGTCCCTCCCTTGGCCCCCCCCAGTAGACCCCAGTGTGTGACACTCCCTTCTCTGTGTCTATGTGTTCTCACTGTTCAACACCCGCCTATGAGTGAGAACATGTGGTGTTTGATTTTCTGTTCTTGTGTCAACTTGCTGAGAATGATGGTTTCCAGATTCATCCATGTCCCTACAAAGGACACAAACTCATCGTTTTTTATGGCTACATAGTATTCCATGGTGTATATGTGCCACATTTTCCTTGTCCAGTCTACCATCAATGGACATTTGGGTTGGCTCAAGGTCTTTTCTATTGTAAACAGTGCTGCTATGAACGTATGTGTGCATGTGTCTTTATAATAGACTTATTTACAATCCTCTGGGTATATACCCAGTAAGGGGATTGCTGGGTCAAATGGAATTTCTTTTTTTCTTTTTTTTTGAGACGGAGTTTCGCTCTTGTTACCCAGGCCGGAGTGCAATGGTGCGATCTCGGGTCACTGCAACCTCCGCCTCCTGCGTTCAATCAATTCTCCTGCCTCAGCCTCCTGAGTAGCTGGGACTACAGGCGTGCGCCACCATGCCCAGCTAATTTTTGTATTTTTAGTAGAGACAGGGTTTCACCATGTTGACCAGGATGGTCTCGATCTCTTGACCTTGTGATCCACCCGCCTTGGCCTCCCAAAGTGCTGGGATTATAGGCATGAGCCACTGCTCCCGGCCTAATTTCTATTTCTAGGTCCTCGAGGAAGTGCCACACTGTCTTCCACAATGGTTGAACTAGTTTACACTCCCACCAACAGTGTAAAAGTGTTCCTCTTTCTCCACATCTTCTCCAGCATCTGTTGTCTCCAGATTTTTTAATGATCGCCATTCTAACTGGTGTGAGGTGGTATCTCAATGTAGTTTTGATTTGCATTTTTCTAATAATCAGTGATAATGAGCAGTTTTTCATGTTTTTTAGCCTCATATATGTCTTCTTTTGAAAAGTATCTGTTCATATACTACTTCTACTTTTGGATGGGTTTGTTTGTTTCTTGTAAATCAGTTTTAGTTCTTTGTAGATTCTGGATATTAGCCCTTTGTCAGATAGGTAGATTGCAAAATTTTTTTTCCCATTCTGTTGGTTGCCAGTTCACTCTAATGATTGTTTCTTTTGCTGTACAGAAGCTCTGGAGTTTAATTAGGTCCCATTTGTCTATTTTGGCTTTTGTTGCCAATGCTTTTGGTGTTTTAGTCATGAAGTCCTTGCCTCTGCCTATGTCCTGAATGGTTTTGCCTAGGTTTTCTTCTAGGATTTTTATGGTGTTAGGTCTTATGTTTAAGTCTTTAATCCATCTGGAGTTAATTTTAGTGTAAAGTGTCAGGAAGGGGTCCAGTTTCTGCTCTCTGAAAATGGCTAGCCAGCTTTCCCAACACGATTTATTAAACAGGGAATCCTTTCTCCATTGCTTGTTTTTGTCAGGTTTGTCAAAGATCAAATGGTTGTAGATGTGTGGCATTGCCTCCAAGGCCTCTGTTCTGTTCCATTAGTCTGTATCTGTTTTGGTACCAGTACCGTGCTGTTTTGATTACTGTAGCTTTATGGTATAGTTTGAAATCAGGTAGCATAATGCCTCCGGCTTTGTTGTTTTTGCTTAGGATTGTCTAGGCTTTGTGGGCTCTCTTATGGTTCCATATGAAGTTTAAGGCGGTTTTTTCCAGTTTTGTGAAGAATTTCATTGGTAGCTTGATGGGGATAGTGTTGAATCTATAAATTACTTTGGGCAGCATGACCATTTTCACAATATTGATTCTTCCTAACCGTAAGCATGGAATATTTCTCCATTTGTTTGTGTCCTCTCTTATTTCCTTGAGCAGTGGTTTGTAGTTCTCCTTGAAGAGGTCCTTTACATCCTTTGTTAGTTGTATTTGTAGGTATTTTATTCTCTTTGTAGGAATTGTGAATGGGAGTTTGCTCATGATTTGGCTCTCTGTTAGTTTCTTATTGGTGTATAGAAATGTTTGTGATTTCTGCACATTGATTTTGTATCCTGAGACATTGCTGAAGTTGCTTATCAGTTTAAGGAGATTTTGGGCTGAGATGATAGGGTCTTCTAAATATATAATCATGTTGCCTGCAGGTGGAGACAATTTGACTTCCTCTTTTCCTAATTGAATACAGTTTATTTTTTTTTCTTACCTGATTGCTCTGGCTGGAACCTCCAGTACTATATTGAATAGGAGTGGTGACAGAGGGCATCCTTGTCTAGCGCTTTATTTCAAAGGGAATGCTTCCAATTTTTGCCCATTCAGTATGATATTGGCTGTGTGTTTGTCGTAAATAGCTTTTATTATTTTGAGATATATTCCTTCGATACCTAGTTTATTGAGAGTTTTTAGCATAAAGGGCTGTTGAATTTTGTTGAAGGCCTTCTCTGCATCTATTGAGATAATCATGTGGTTTTTGTCTTTGGTTCTGTTTATGTGGTAGATTACATTTATAGACTTGTGTATGTTGAACCAGCCTTGCATCCCCAGAATGAAGCCTGCTTGATCATGATGGATAAGCTTTTTGATATGCTGTTGCAGTTGGTTTGCCAGTATTTTATTGAAGATTTTTGCATCTATGTTCATCGTGGATATTGGCCTCAATTTTTTTTTCTTGTTTAGTCTCTGCAGGGTTTTGGTATCAGGATGATGTTGGTCTCATAAAGTGATTTAGGAAGGATTCCCTCTTTTTGTATTGTTTGGAATAGTTTCAGAAAGAATGGTATGAGCTCTTCTTTTTATATCTGGTAGAATTCAGCTGTGAACCGTCTGGACCTGGACTGTTTTTGGTTGGTAGGCTATTAATTGCTGCCTCAACTTCAGCCTTTGTTACTGGTCTGTTCAAGGTTTCGCCTTCTTGGTTTAGTCTTGGG